TTAAAGGCCCCGTCGATAAATAAGGAATCAATCGCGCGTCGGGGATACTCGGCTTTTAAATTTTTTCGCCCGCCCTTTAAAGGAGTTTATCGGTTAAAATGTTAATAATTCATTCCGAACGGCGGGAACGGTTGAACGGAAATTAATAGTTCAGAAGATTGTTCGATAATCTTCATACAACCCGACGTCGTCGGTGGAGTATCGTGTAAATGTAGACTCTTCAATTTAAAGAAACTCGCCGTTGCGAGTTTCGAATTGATAGACGGTGCGATTATTAATAAAGCTCGATATACGAATTAGTTCGTCGCCAGAAATAGAGTGGAGGGTTCGCGTGTGCGAACGAGTGCGTGCCGTTCGGGCCCCGCTCACTATCGTTTATTACGCGGACGGGAATAACTCATGCTACACCTCATCAATAAGTTAGTTTTACCAGTCGACAACATTGGTTTTCGATGAATTATTCCGCTTCGACCGTCGTGTATTGTATACCCTTTCTACGCCAGCCGATATTTGTAGATAAAAAAAATTAAAATCCGTGTTCTGGGCGAGCGAACGAAATCGTTTGGCAATTAAACCGCCAACGAGCGCAACTTCTCGCCGAGACGGACTATAATTCCGTCCCTCAAATATTTATGCAAACCTAAAACACTAATAGCCCGTAACGACCCATCAATGTTCAAACTTTGTTAATTAACTAAAGAGCTTGCTACTAGGTGAAGAAGGTATTTAAGGGATACGAGGGCCCTAAAGGAGAAATGTAAATGTACGCGGAGTCGTTTAATCTGATTTGCTGGTGACTATAGGCGATGATGGGTGGTAAACGTTTCGAAACTTTTTGTATTTACCCCATCGAAACGAGTTCCTAATTATTATCGATTATTTTTTTTAATTAGATAACCGAACGAACGTAATTAAAAAAGAAACCAACAACGTTCCAATTCCCGGTGTAGGCGGAATTTATAGTTTCAATTTTTATCGAAAGCAATAAAAAAACGATCTGGTAATCGCCGGGCGGTATTCTCGGTGAATGGGAACGAACACAAAAAGGCATTAAATATTTTTAATTATTTTAGGCGCGCCTCCGTCGGCTTAGCTCTTGATGAAAACGCGCCAAACAATGGACTTGGGCGCAAAAAAATGAGAGGCTCAATTCAGTTTTTATTTGTCCATCAGTCGCAGACACTTCACCGATCCGGCTCGCCATGAAATATTCCTCCATTATTAACCCGTACTGGGCCGGGTCCGGGCCGTTCCGTTACATTGATATCCGTTTGATTTGAATACGAAGGCAATTAAATACTTTCATTAATCCAATTTGCGACAAGAACAGAGTATTTTTTTAATTAAAAATTTAATCTTCTGTGCACAAAATGTAGAATGTGTGTTTTACTACAAATTCTTTTACTCACAAATTGGTCCGTATTTAAATGAATTTGTGATGCACTTAACAGCCAAGGTATTACATCTGGGAAATATTTGTTCGAGACGGTTAACAGATCCTTGTAAAATTGTAGCCGTCAACTGGGTACCGACGGTAGTTATCCATTAGCAGAGAAAATGTCAGTAATTTAGGAGAAACGTTAGAGCTTGTATGAGTACGGATGTAATCTAACAAGAGACAAAAGCAATGGTTGTTATTCAGACCAAGTTGCCCGTATAATATGAGAGCCTTTTGGTGTTTCGAGTTTAGTTGAGTGTATATGTGTGCACTTGTCGCGAGAACGAAAAGAAACAGGGAATATAAAGTTAGTGCTAACTAGCTTGGGGATAAATAATAATTGAACAATTACAACAAGTACCTAGTCATTATTTAAAAACTTAAGGATAAGGTTAGTTTTGAACTAAAAAATATCTACCAAATAACTAACATGTATGTAGAAGGTTTCTGGAGGTTTCTGCTCCAATTAAAGTTATGCAAACAGTAATAATTTATCTTAACAAGAAACTCCAGAGAAAGCTCGCATTTGGCAATAATTGCAATCAAATTGATTAAATACACTCTTACACTCTCTACAGTAAACGGTTAGTTTGATTAAACTATCGTACAAATAATCACAACGAATTTTTCTGTAGGTACCATAATTCCTGAATTATCAATAAATAATTATTTCCAACACGTTTATCATTATTGTTCCGCCATAAAATCAGCAGATATTGTGTGTTTTGAACAAAATTCAATATTAAAGGGAACAATTAGAGTTAATTAGAATGAATCATTAAAGTAGCAAATGAAAATATGTTAATTATCGACGCCACGTAAATATTTTATCCGTTATCAAAGAAAATGTCGATAAATATTTAACAGCAATTAAATTACAATATTAATAATTGATTAAAAAGACAATGTTATTTAATAAACCGATGAAAATTAATGTGGTAACTGATGTCTCATCAAAACGAATATTTTATGTTGGTTTTAGGTTAAAAATGGAAGAGAAAATTGCTGCTCTAACTATGTAATAGTTGCAGTGGAAATGTTTTAGATCATGAACCGTTCGACTCCCACGAGTGTCCTCGTTTTAAATCCACTTCGATACTTAAATATGCATTTTTATTAGCCGACGAAGAATTATTATATTTGTCGAGACCTGAAATTTTGTCGCGAGGCGAGAGTCCGAACAATGAATGAAATTTATAATTCAAATCCGAAGGGACGAAGTAACAGCCGTTCTCATCGTACTTTTCTGGGATGTAACTCCGGGGAAACTCTATAAAGTTCAACTTCTATTATTGAACGAACGTCTTTTATTGAAAGTCTGTAATTATGTTCATCCTCTAAAGAGAATGTTGATATTGCGATTTTGTACCTCCGCAGGACTGGCCTCGCCCTAATACTCATAATTAGTTTCGAAAAATTACTAATATTTTTACAAAAATAATACCATAAAAATAATTTACATATTAATCGATAATAATATCTTAACGCGCGTATAAAACACAAGATATTACGACAATAAAAGATATTTTAATTTTAATGAATTATTACCCAAACTACAAAGTTATACGGAAATTATAATATAATTGTTAAAGCGATTCGACGAACGCCTCCATACAAAGCTCTGACTCCGCAGCTTTATAACATCAAAGACAATCAAAGACGCTCCAGTACCGGTCCTGAGCTTTCGGGAGAAGCCAGTGAAATATAATTAAATTTCAGTGAACGGAGAAACGAAATCTATGTGGTTTTTTTTTCATTCGATTGAAATGGGATTGTAGACGGCGGCAAACTCTTTGAAAACAATCGGCAAGATTTTTTCATTTCCTCCTCCGGCTGCAAAAGTGAGGGAAATGTGGGTGAATTTCTAATGATTGCAGATAATATTTGTTCGATGCGACAGGGTGGAATTGGCTTTAGAAAACCGGATGCCGCGTTTTCTGCTATCCAATTTTCCAAACTATTTTAAACGGATCTCTAAAATCGTTCTAAAATCGGCCCAGCTCGCGCCTGACCTTTCATCTATGTGGATCAGCTTCGCGACCTTAAATTACGCCCGTTGCCTATCGTAATTCAAGCGGCAAACTCGAACATTAAAAAAAAAACTTCACCAACTTTCCGTTCTCCGGAGTTTAAATTTAAAATAAAACGAAACTTTCGAATCTGCATCGAAACTCCGGCGAGCCGGTCACGTAACGTGCCAGTTTTTGGATATGAAATTGAAGATAATCGTGGGCAATTTCGCGTAATCATTCAAATTGAGTCGTCTTCGAGCACATGAAATTTTTGTTTACCGTTAAAGAAAGTCCTTACACGAATTTGCGATAGAAGGGAAACGAATTTCGGTTTATGTTTCGTTTCAACGACTGTATAAAAATAACGAATGTTTTATATTTATAGGATATCCTAATTAAATCTCGAAAGTATCCACAGCGAAACGAGAAAGAATAAAATTGAAAATCACGTCTTATAGATTCAGAAGCGCGGTGGGATTCAATTGAAAGCGTTATCGATTTTAGATTTAAGCTAAAACCACTTGATCCGAAATGATTGCTACCCATTAACGTAGGTCATCTTTAATTCATTTCCACTGATATTGATTTTCTAATCCAAAAATCGCATTAAATGTTTACTCCTAATTTTCCTCGCTGTTTCGGTTCCATTTGCCTAAAAAGCATTAAGTATTTATTTCGGATGGCGTTTCGGAATCGTTATCAGCGCCGGCAGATTTTATCGGAAGGCTTTTTTATGCCTCTTTTTATATGAAATTCGGCTGATGTTGTAAATTAGCTCCGTAATGAACGATGCTTTATTTTTATATTGTGTAATAAAAAATTCTCTCTTAAAGTGAAATTTTAAAAATACATTACTTTCACATCCTTAAAATAACCTAACATTACTGTTATATCCTTTACTTTATGCTAAATTTAGTGAAGATAATTTTGTCAATTAGTGTTATTTATTCATTGGCATGTCTACCATGAGTACTGTTCGTGAGAGACAGTAGTTGTGTTACTGCTAAATTCATTTGGTAAAATCTATTCCAAATAAGCAAAATTGGAATGAAATTGATTTTTCTATGGATAATACTATTTTCTTAGTTCTACGAACACAATGTTTATCAACAAGCCTATTGGCGGCCTTGATCCTAATATACGATACTCGTGCGAAAAGGTCGAGCGGAAGGAATTGCCTCTTATAATAGATTAGATCGAAGGATAATTTTTTGTTCGTACCTTCTAATAGAAAAAGGAATTACGTGTGAATAAAAGATAAATGTTGTTTTCTTAATGACTTACATTATTCGAACAAAGAAAGTTCCAAAGCGCGTTGGCGTTCCGAACAGGAAATTAAAGTGTTGGGTGGGATTACCATCAAGCGCTTTGATCCTGGTGGAGATACGACCATTTAGTAAAATTTAAGGATTTTCTTTTTATATCAGTTTTATATTGTTTTCGTTCGGACTCGATGTAGGAGCGAGCGACATTAAAGGGATAACAGTAAAAAAAGTTTTTGTTTAACATTCGGTTATCTACGCAAAAATGCCCAAAACAGCGAAGTAATTCTACAGGCGCACATGTATAGCCCCTTTTTTTTCTCTTTCTCCCTCGCAAGGAGGCTTTATGGCTGACCTGGATTTCGCCGAACATAAAATTTGGGATTCCCTTATACCCTTCGGATACGGACATACTGAATTTCATAAGATCACTTTCATTAAATAGGTTCAATTAAGTTAATGGCCCGTTCGAACATTTAGAAAGGCAAAAAGAAAATATAAAAGTGTGTATAACATGTAAATGATACTTTATTAGCAAATTTCCAACCGAAAATTATATTTCGTCAGTGTCAGATATTCCGCCAGTAATTTCATGAATGTTTGAGGATATAATATTTATACAATTTAGCTGCGCATACCAGGTATGGAATATTGATTTCATTGTTTATGCATACATATTCTAGTTACTATTAATGAGTTCTTTAGGTGTTTTTATGGTACCTATACTTTAATTTTTCTTCTCTATTTTAATGGATAAAAAAATAATTACCAACTACTACCTATACAAAGAATTGCATTTTAGATGTAGCGATTAAAATGAGTTTTTAAAGTTATATCGATATAAAACTAGCGTTTTATAATAATGACAAAGGAGGATTAAATGGTATAGCTATTAAAAAATTCATAACACATAACATAAATGACATGGAAAAATGATTATCGAATACTACATTTAGTATTCAGATAGACTATTATATTTATTTATGAAAAATTAAATAGTACATTTAATTGAGGTCTACTCGCTTATTATGTACATAATAAATAAGGTATTTGAAACTTTCATATAAATTAGCTATATATCTATACACTGTGTTATTTATAAGATGCGACATAGGGATTCCTGTACAAATGTGTCAAAAGCAAGCTAACTTTTTTACCAAATAACGTTCATAAAAAATAATAACAGATTTGAAAAGATCGTAAAAAAATAAGTCGAAATGGACATTAAATTTTCTTAAATTCATTCTGGTTTATTAAAAAAATGTATAATTAAGTTGAAAAAGTCATACGACATAAATAATTCCTTTTTATAACACTATCTAATTAATGTAAAAAGGGGCGGAGCTAACAGGGTTGGTTGACGCTCTGAAATTTGAACATTTCGAGGTGAAGGATTGTGGTTCAAACCGCGAGTGCGGAAATTTTTTTCTGAATTTTTTTTTGTATTTTTGTTTTTTTTAATGTTTTTTTGTCATTAATAAAAATATGGCATTTATTTAAAGGCTCTACTTACTAACGAGATTTTGCATTATCAAAATTGACAATTAATTGTCGGAGCTTTTATTTAAATAAAAATAAAATTAAATCTCAAATAAGCTTGTCTTATTTTAAATACTTTTATTTAACATTTTTTTAGACAAAAACATTAAAAAAAACGAAAAAAAAAACAAAAAAAAACTTTGCCCCAAGCGCGGTTTGTAGAGCGTAAATTGTAGAGCGTTAACCATCTCTGTTAGCTCCACCCCTTTTGAAAAAAATTAGATAGTGTTATAAAAAGGAATTATTTATGTCGTATGACTTTTTCAACTTAATTATGCATTTTTTTAATAAACCAGAATGAATTTAAGAAAATTTAATGTCCATTTCGACTTATTTTTTTACGATCTTTTCAAATCTGTTATTATTTTTTGTGAACGTTATTTGGTAAAAAAGTTAGCTTGCTTTTGACACATTTGTACAGGAATCCCTATGTCGCATCTTATAAATAACACAGTGTATACGAGATATAGTAACAAATCGAGCAATAGTTTTCGAGTGAATAAATTCTCTAAATAGATGTAGTGTATTGTTGAAATTGCTGCTAAAGCGAATCGCTCTCAACAAGCTGCAAATAATTTTCGAAACAAGTATAAAACTCCTCTTTCATTAACTAAAGTGCAACGCTTTAGGTAACGTAATCGTTTTCGTGCGCTAAGCGTACGATGTTATTCTTTTCCCCAGTAATGGAATCATTTATTCGAAAGATGAATCATTTCTCCGAATTTAAAAACAATTCCATCGGTGCAATCTGCTGAAAGTAAACCCCGACTCTCGTTCTCGGAGCCTTTCCAGCAGACCAACTTCTGGCCAATAGCCAAACTTCGTATATAAAGTGCAAGATACCACTTACCTGTTGTCAGAGGGTGAGTATGGTAAAAAGCGAAAATAAAAACAAGCTCGGACCGGTGCGTACAGCCCGTTATAACTAAGACTAGTGGCGTGACTCTTCAACTACAACATCGGTTTTCAAGTATCTTCCACAACTCAACGATAATCCAGAAACATTATCATTCGCACTAGCTACAGTAACATGTGCCGAAATGTATATACGAGAAAAAAAAATAGCACCGGGAGGCGCTTCGAATCCTGCGGGATTTTATATTTTATACGTAACAATTCAGCACTCGAAGCACCGATAACAAACGGTCCATCAACAGAGTCCGAGGAAAATTATCTTTAAAAAAAATCGGTATCGCGTGTCCCGACCAGATGGGGTTTTTAACTGTGTGGCGGTTGCCGGTGGCGGCTCATGCCAGACGGTTGGACGTGAGGTCGTGAACGGCGGCGACTGTCGAGGCTTGGCGGCGAGTTACGGCCACGAGGGAGAAACGCGCCACGGAGCCTGCGCCGCTCCCCGACGCCGGCGCCTTTACTTACGATGTATATACGCTCGCCTCTATATCCACGATATCGCACACCTGAGCGTTTTAAGGCGGCGGTGACTATGTGGGGGGCGGGTTTCCCTAGGTCAAGGAAAGTTTCGCGTTATGTTGGCTAATATTATGCAATTAGGGTGTGCTAATGATACTGGCTTTTTTTTTAAATTGTATCGCTCTTGCCAATTTGCTTAATGAAATGCGAGTAGTTCAATTCGGATATTTTAGGTCGAGTCACTGGAGGAAATTTTCGACTTGCTTTTCAGAATTCAAAAGGTACTTTCATATGACTCGATCAAATTTAGAGTTTTTGTTGGTGCTTCGACACAGAAAGAAATAATTGACCTAATATTAATGACCGCTGGTGATTGAATGTAAAATCATTATCAAAATGTATTTTTCATGATTACAATGTATAACCGACATAGTAAACATAAAATTTTGTGATTGGTTAATTCATTTTTTCGTTATTATAATGATCACGTACCCATTGCAATAATGTAAAGGTGTCATTAATTCAATGTAATTATTTATGCATATTATGAAATTTACCTTAATACAATAAATTTTACATTAAAACGATGATAAGATACATCAAGTCAATGGTAACTAAGTATTTAATATTATGTATGGTTAATAATCATATTTCATTGAATTGATGTTATAAGTAATAGACTATACTCAAAAGAAATTATACCGATGCAAAAATGTATAGCTTAATACAACGAATTATTAATATTAATGTCTAAAACATTAGTTACCGCTTCCAGTTATAAAAATCAATACACATTTTATTAGGATAAGGTACTGAAACATTACTTAATGTATCAGGTCGTTCCGCCAATGTCCAAGTATCAGAGCCTGTGTTCGTATTGAGGCTTCAGCCTCAATTAGTTAGGTACTTAATACTGTTGTTGTTAACCCAATAAATTTGCAATGGAAAAAAATGCGAATTTACGTGCATTAGCTGAAAAAAAAACAAATGGACGGAACGATTTATATCCCGAAATACATATACATATATTCGCGCCGTGGGGCTCGATGTATATGCGATGGTGCTGCCTTCGCTCGCTCATTCGTGAAATCGCGTAAACTCAACTGTGGCGTGAATAATATCTTACTTGTCACACCTGTTCATTTTTCGTCGTTTCAATTTACATAAACACGTCGATGTCGGCGGCGGAATGGATTTCGGTTGACTTTTACACTAATGTTTCTATTTAACAAATCGCCACGGTTCATAAATTTCTCTCGCGGCAGATATACCGATTATGCCATTTTTTCCCACTTTTGAATTTACGACGGTGCCGGTTTATTCCCGGCGAAAAAATTCATTAGCAATTTTATTCAGGCAATTCGTAACGGTAAATATTCGTTATGTGCACTATATTTTATTAAAAAACACCTAATTAAATCTACCTAACTTTGATTCATTTCAAGTAATTAAGAATTAAACATACAACTATAATTTTAGAATACTGTCTTATTAGAAAATTTCTTACAAGGACATATTATAGTTTTGAAAATAATGGATGATGTATGAAGCTTGGCTGCTCGGTTACGCATCAGCGGACCCTCGTATATACACTTGAAACGATAACCCTCTCTGCGCCGGGCTCTCTCTCATGTGATGATTTTAATATACCCTACTCCGCAGCATCAAAAGCCATTATCTTAAATGCTTTATGTTTCATGTAATTAAAACATCCCCATTTTCGCTACGAACAGTTTCGTATATTTATATAAGTCTGAAACGGCGCTTTTATCATTGGGCATTATATGAGTTTCGGGGGGTTAAATCGCCGGGATTACAGGGCCCGCTTTCTCTCACTTTTGCGCCGTTTTATCTTTTAGTTTTGGTTTTAGTCCGTCTACGTGACCGAAAGTTTAATTTGTTTTTAAACGTACGGCCGATTTTTACAATTACCGTTCGTTTGGTAAATCGTCCCTTTAAAACTCCCCGATATATAGGGTGGCCCAGAACTCACGCCCCACCGGGAAATGCCTTATGTAAACGACAATGGAGATGCCAAAACTGCAATCAGCTGCGACTATTGATCAAAGATTTGCTTCCAAATCGATCATTCAGGAGCTTCATCATGCTGATACCAAGCCTACATTTTTTATTGCTTCAAAAGTGGTTCGAACCGAATGATCGATTTTTTGATCAATTTGAAAGCAAATCTTTGATCAATAGTCGCAGCTGATTTTGGCAGCTATTGTTAACCTTGAAAGTGAAAAGCAGATAGAATCTTTCAATGATGTCAAATTGCTGTATTCACGTCATTTTCGCATTTGTGAACTGCTACTGGAAATGGTCAATTTTAAACCTCTTTATTTACCAAAGGAATAACTTTTTCATGTTTTTGACTGCAGTTTTGGCATCTCCATTGTCGTTTCTATAAGGCATTTCCCGGTGGGGCGTGAATTCTGGGCCACCCTGTATAGCGCCTCTATTCTAGCTCTTTCAAATCTGCAAATTAACTATAATAATAAATTATTTAGTTACAACGATCTATTGACAATCATCCCTTCACTAGACTCCTATAAACTTGATAAAAACTGTAAGTATTCCTACTAGCAATGAAAATATTATTTCGACTGCATGCACAAAAATTGGGATTTGGATTTTTGTTTCAATTAATAACTAGTCACGTAGAGTGAACATTTATTATTTCCCACTTCGAATTTATGCTTTTAATCCATGGCCTGATGCACATTAAATGTGCATGCTCCACCATTTTGGATTATTATAAAACGACCGGCATTGTTTTGTTTTTAAAATCAATTCATTTGTTTCATTGTGCGAGGGAAAAAAAATGTTAGGAAAACTAATAATTTACATTGAGTCGATTGTGTACAGTACGTTTTGGAAAATGATGAATCCGCGATTCAAACCCCGTTAATGGTTCGGTTTTTTTTTTTATTTATAATGCGATTTGAGTAAAATGACGGCTGCAGTTGAGGGTTTATTAATCGAATTGACGTGTTGAATTTTTATCAATCGGCATATTTAAAAAATGCACACAAAAGCCGCGCTACTACAATAAAATGTATATTTCAAAGTAAAATTACGTCCGTTGGGTTTTATGTTCGGCGGTGTAAATATTTATTTTTCAAACATGCAAATGATTTTTCACGTATTGATGAGGTTTTGTTCATCGAATGCGTTAGTGTGCAATGTGACAGCTCGATTTTCGATTCGAAATTGCCCCGACCCATCGGTAATTTACAGCGAACAAATACCTTTATGCATTCCGGTGTACTTGTCCTTCAAAACGGTGAACTCGTAGATTTTCCCGAACTCCTCGAACATCGGCCTCAGATCGTCCTCCTCGAGATGACGCGGTATTTGCCCGACGAAGAGTTTTATCACGTCACGACTGCCCCCGCTGTGCTGCTTCTGCATCTTGGGGGAAGTGGGAATCAACATATCGCGAAACGTAAACCGACCACTGACTTATACCCGACGACGAACACGCGCGACCCTCGGCGTGTACGATCGAAAAATCGAATCTAAAAAATAGTTTGTACCCCTATTGTGCGTTGCGAAAGCCTCCGGTCGCCCCCATGCACGCACATTTATCGATTCGCGAAGAGATGAAGCGTAGGTGCGTCGCGTCGCAACCCCTAAATGCGTTTCCCCCTTTTCGCAGGAGAAGTTCACGACGAGAAAAACTACCGAAAACGTTTTGAAGATCTTCGTGCTTCACTTTGTTGGCAAAAAAGTAAACAACAACGATCGAATTTTCACTACGAGGAATGTTCGAACAAGAACTTGGGTTTTTTTTTTTGAAGTAACACTTAGAATTTAAATTTTGTACTAATTTTGTACTCTTCTTTTTAGCTTATTCTAGACAGTCTTATTAATTATAATCACAAACTTAATGCACGACGAAATTTAGAAAATTGTTTGTTTTTTATTTTATGTTGGAATTATCTAAAATATATACATTATAATGAAATTTACACCACTTTTTCCCTTTAATGATACCAATGACAAATTTATAAATCAATCAAATTATTAAATAACACAATACTTTATAATCACTCTTATGCCCATTGAATATTAAAATTGAAATCCATATCCAATAATTAAATTGAATATACTAGGATTACTTAGATTAAATATCAATTAACCTATCTCATTTGTTTAAATAATTAATTAAATAGTGTAAATTACAAAATGCATTGTACTCAAATTTCAAATACCAGAAACGTTTGGATAATTAAATTCAATAATTAAGAAATTCTAATAAACAAATTACATAAAAAGTTGAATACCTACTAATAAGAATAGAGTATAGTAATTTTCAAAACATTTATTTTCTATTTATTAAAACTTCTACTTTCCTAATTCAATTAATCTAAACGTTATCTGTATATTGTACCCTTCACTTCAAAATGTACGTGATTCCTGCGCGTATTTCACAAAATATCGTAAAAGCCACAATTTTATCGAATTTAAATGCACTATATTTTTAAAACACTATTCTCCTAAAGTCCAAAAATATCAGCCTTGTACTCTCATTACCAACAAGTATGCTGTACAAACGTGTCGAATAACAAAGTGCCTTGAATTGAGCGTAGCATTAACTACTTGTGCGTAGAAAGCAGAAAAAAAACTAAAAAAAACTCGTATATCGTCAACAGAAATTGTTTTAAACTAATTAAATAATGTATGATTAAGTAACTGTTAACCGCGCGTTAAGTAAAAACAAATAGGGAAAAAACAAGTTCCTATTCTAACGACCACAGAACACAAGGACACCTCCACAACAACCAAACTGACACTGGCAGGTCCTTTTGCAGTTGCAACGTCGGTTGGCCGTGGAAAATCCTCATTCACCCTTACTCAATAAAGAGATATGGATTGGGGGTCGTATAGCGGAGGGTACAGCCCTTCCTGCAGCGTGCTTGACGCACTCTGACTCATTCTCCCGCCGTTTTATCCCTCGCATAATGCGTGCACTGTTTATTTTCCGAAGGCAATGCTTTTTACTCCGGATGCACTGCTGCCGCACTTTACCAAACTGCTTACAATGTGCGATATTAAATAAGAAATCAATACATAAGATTTTTCACTTATACTTACTTATACTTATACTACAAATATTAATTAATTATAAACTATTATTAACAAATTAATTCAGGTACCTTATGTAATGATATTGTGGAGATATATTTTGATAAATTTTTACTCAAAAAATTCAGAAAACTGTTACTAATGGCAACACTGTACATTTTCACTTGTTTCCCTCGAGTTAACGTCGAGCGGGAAATTTTTTTCGTTCGTTATATCCATCGATTTTAAGTGGAATTGAAGTTGGTCAGGTGCAACGAATGCATTTATTCCGTCGAAGTAGAAAAAAAAAACTAATTTGCTCAGTAATTAATCCCGGTCGCTCCCGCGATGAGAGATGAAAATAATTACGCTGGATTAATTGAAATCAAACAAAGGGATGCGGAAAATCGCTCATACCATATAGGTACTTGTAATAACAAATTTGCATGTTTTGAAAGGAATTTGTGAAATATTATTGAAATTGGTATAAAGATCCGTCGGCAATCGACAACAAAAAATTATTACTTTTTTCACATCTGCAGTTATTAAAGAGCAATTCGCGCGAATGCTTTTCACTCTTCTTTTTTTCAATAAGAAAATCTCCTGGAAATCCCCGAAAACCAAGCCCAAAAGGCCAATTAAATTCGCTCTAAAGGAATCCAATAACCAGGCATTAAGCCCCACCGACATTAGCTTTATGATGTTTGACACATTGTACCATAAAGCGAAAGTCGTAACTTTGAAAGACCGCCGCACCAGCATTCAAAAGTTATACGCTCTCATTCATCCTATCCTCTCTTTCCGAGCCGAGCCTCCCGTACAGGACCGACTTTCCAACGAAAAAAATTCCCTGCCAATCCAGACATTAATTCGTACCATACCTGATTAAAAATTACTATTTCATTGAATTAAAAAATCTGTAATAACTGTTGTTTATTTTAGACTGGTGATGATGCCACGAATGCCTATCAGTAACAATATTATAATTAATACTTCATCTTGAATAAACGCGATTGCTTCTTCACTAACAAATTAGTAAGTAACCCAGAATTATAACAATATTACAAATTTGATTAAATTCGAATAGAGTCGAGACCCACCCTGATCCTTATCCACATCCACTGTGCCAGACGTTTCCAAGGAATAGTAAAATTAATGCAAATACCTCGAGGGTCCCACACAAGATATATACACGACGTGAATATTGTGCTTTATGGAAGCACAAGCATGAAAATCTTCGGTCAGTCGCCAGATACCCGGGCCCCATCTTCCAAAAAGCCCGTCTGACAGAAATACCGAGGGAGTCGCTTTTATTACGGTTTTATAACTTCTATTACTAGTTATGTTAATGCCGGTGCAATATGCTGATGCGTTGTAACATCCCCATATTAATTTCAAGTTAACAAACTTATTCTTTGCGCGAGTGCCTACTAAACTATAATGGAAATGTATACGTGCATATATCTATTAGTTATGACAATGGAATTGGAAATGACCGAGCGAAATTCCTTCGAAAATTACCGCGTTCGCCAAACCGCTTAATCTGAAAAGTCACGGCCTCCATTTCCAGAAACCATAACAAGTCGGGTAGTCGGGCGAAATAAAGCAGCGAAACTCCTAATGAGAGGTTCTTCCGAAATTATTGTTTAAGGAGGAGAGAGGCGGGCGAAAGTTAACAGAGTTAAATGTTGGGAAAGTTTCGGACTCTTACGTTTGGTCAAACTAACAAGGACGTTTTCGCAGTGCAACTTCGTCATGCAGACTCGCTAAAGTCCAGAAGTTAGTTGGTTTAGACGGTTGTCTGGCTTTACGAGTTCACCGATCTTTCGCATGAAACGCTAGGCTTGTTAGCCTGACGAAAAATCTACGAAATTTCTACCGGCCGACCTCTTAATTTCGGTTTGCATTTAATTAAGTTTTAAAGTCCTTGCTTCTAGTAAAAAAATTACATTTTCCAAAACGTTTTTCGTTAAGAGGTCTTATTATTTATCGATCACTTTTTACATTAGTTAATGGTAGAATAATTCCGAGATACTTCTGTAGAATACCCCATTAATTCGACATCTGGACAAATTAAGGAACTTGAGAGCCACTCCTTAGGCGATATATTGTATTAGAAGGGTGCATAAATCTCAAACGGCAGAGCCTACAAGGCGGACGGTATTTCGACTGGTGCAAAGAAAGTCCGAAAGGAGGAAAGTTTCCTTATCGCTTTTATTCGATAAGAACTAATTTGCTTTCATGATGTAACACAATAAAGTTTTATAGATAAAGAAAAAAATACGCCATGCTATTGTACCTAAATACACGCCTAAATGAATGAATATAAATAGAGATTTATTTATATATTGATTAGTCCCTTTGAGGGAAATTGATGCACAAATTTAATTATTACCAAATTAGCGGCGCATGGTCTGTTATCATTCTAGAGTAACTCACATCAAAATGGAATTTGATTAAACGGTCCGCTTATAATTACATCGGAGGCTTTCATCGAAATATATAACTTTGTCGCAAATTGAAAATTTAACGTGTAATCCAAAAATAATTGGAAACCGATCCGAAAATAATTATTTTTCACTCTTTTTTAAACATGTATTTAATAGCGGCGAGCGAATTCATCGAAACGCTCGATCGCACGCGCAAAAATTACTTCGACCCCTTTTGAAAATAAATAGAGCATAGGAAAAACCAACAACCGGGCTCCGTGAGAGCGGACACGTGTAAGTGCCGCTAATTTTTTTTTTGTTAACTTTTCGTCTAAGAGCAGAGGCAAGAGTGCAGCACGTGCTTTTGAAACGGAAAGTTCAGCGACCGATTCCGCAGCCCTTCCTCCAACTCTGCAGCTCACGGTTGATTCCGGGATCAACATTAGAATGTTTGAGATGGGGTCTCGGTCTCCACGCAAATCGAAATTGACGGACTACGTGCGGCCATTATAATTTCCAACACCGAGGGATGGTTTATTAAAGATTTTTGTTTGAAGATCCTAACAATATTTATTGACTTTTGTGGGACAATGTGATATTTCAAATTTTTTATTGAGTTATTTTGAGATGAGTCTCGACGTAAAATACGCTTTCGTCGGCGATAATAGAGCAAAGAGTAATAATTAATAGGTCTAGTTGAAATCGGAATACCCGTCTATTTTTGTACGTGAAAATGGGCAAAACCTGCCGGAGTTATTTCTCCTATTTGACTTCCTTCTCGTTTCCACAATCGAGGATTACTTCTTCAATTCGAGCCGTTGATGTGACAGCGCGCGAGTAAAAAGTCGGTCATTTATTAGAAAGGACGGTAAGTCCGTTTGTCTCTGTTCGTTCTTCGGCGGTATTATAACTTCAACGCAATCATAAATCATAAGTGTT